TATGCATATTCTCCAACACTGATCGTTACTATCCTGTCAGGTTTTGGTCTGTCGGATGTCTCAAACGTTTTCGGTCTGGCAAATGCCGTGAATACTTTCATCACGGAGATGGGTTCTGTCATGTACAACTACTACAACTCACATAAGTCAACCAAGACCTATATCGTATTTGTGGCGGCCTATTCTGTATCTAGGTTGGTCTTCCTGGCGTACAGCGTGTTAGTTTTCTACCAAGCTTTGACCCCACCACTGGAGTCGGTGTACCCTTGGTGGGCCCCTCTAGTTATGATATCTCTCCAGGCGATGCTATTCGTGGTGAATTTAAAGTTCCTCCTCACACACTGCCGCAAACTGAGGGGAATCTTGCGGAAGCAGCGCGAGGAAACGGGAGGTAAATGCCAACGGAAGGCCGCGACTACGACAACGGTCGCTGAGGAATGTGTGATTTCTGACGATGAGAAAATGACGGGTGAGAGTAAGGTTCCGGTGATTGGGAGGAATCCTTCACAATGGCCAGCGTGAAATGCTGAGGGTTCATAGTAGCCACAAAAGTGTAGCTCTTTTCATTGCTCTTTTCTTTTTGTGGTGTTGAGATAAGTGATTGCTCTGGGAGGGACATGGTCGGAAACATTGTACAACAACAACGTACACAACACACGACAGGAGTTTGTGAGAGAATGTTCATACTCATCGGAGTAGTGGTTAACTAGGTATGGGGTTGGAAGGTCATCGAAGCCTACATCACATACCCTTCCCACTTGCGTTTGAGTAAGCGTTTCGAGATTCGACCGGATTGGTGTTAGCCATCAGGATGCCACCAAAACGTTCAGTTGCCGCTAAGGCCGAGGCCGCTCCTCTTGCCTACAAGCTACGTTACTGTGATAAGGACAGCATATCCCCCAATTTACACTGTTCGGTCTGTTGCGAGGTCAGCTCTACAACAGCATCTACCTTGTTCTTGTGCATGCGTGCTGATGATGATGAATAGGTCTTCACTGACCCTGTCTGCGCTGTGCCTTGTGGTCATACCTTCTGCCGTGAATGCCTCTATCAGTGGCTCGAGCTCAGAAACACAACCTGTCCAGAGTGGTAGGTGATAGCTGAGCCCGCAGTGCGTAATCTCTGATTCCAGTCGAGCAACGATTATCAAACAGAATTGCCATAACGATCTCATGGCCCGAAAGTTCTTCGATGAACAGGACGTGTAAGCAGCCGCCCATGCCCTACTCAGACGATCGCTAGCGTCAGGTATTGTCCATTCCGAGGTTGCCAGTGGGACGGTAAGCATGGGGACCTCGAGGCCCATATGGGAGACTGTGATTGCGATCCCAGTAGAGTGCCGGATTTCTTAAAGTGAAGAGCATTTCCTCGGGAGGTGTATGTTCAGTGTTCGTTGCTCAGATCGTCGTCCCTAGATGATTCAGAGGGTACAGTGGATGGTGTGGTGATGGGAGGGGCCCTTAGGGTGACGAGAGGCCCTTAGGGTGACGAACAAAAGGGTGCCCTTTAGATGGAGTTATTACGACAGAATAACTCGAGCCTATTGAAGGCAGCCTTCAATACTTCGATACTGGACGACGATGATGAGGACAGTAAGGAGGGGAACGCTCCATTGTCACATGAAGGCTCCCTACATGGTAGACATGACTCAGCCTCCCAAGCCCACATGGAGGGAAAGTGAAGCGATTGCCATACCAGATTCCTAACCTAATTACTATCCATATATGTCACTATTATTGCTCACGTTAAGCGTAATCTTGAAGCCTGGTGTTGGTCACTGAACTGTTGCTGCTGCTGTATGATGAGAGGATCAGCAAGGAGATAGTTTATCGGTGTCTTGTTTGTCAA